ACCAGCGTAAAAAGGAAGGTCTCCTCCACAATATGCGGGAACCGCCTTTATACGTTCCACTTGAGCTTTCGAAGAGTAATCGCGATTGGGCTAGACCCGGATAGATGAGCAATCTGTTGGAAACCTCGACACCGTAATTCCGTTCAGTGCGGGTAGCTTTTAGGAGTCCAACAGTGAAATGTGATGCCGCCTATCCATCTATGCAACTACCCGACCCTTGAATGGGAAGTTAGGTAAGCTCAATGTGTGCACTTCCATTGCCCTTATCATTCCTTTCGCTAAAGTTTATATTACTTCCCAGTTATGAGTATGCTTTCTATTAAATACCCATAAATACGTTCACCGCTGGGCCTATGATCGACGTGTTTACGAAGCATCGATTTGTGTCATTTTAGCAGGATGCAGACTACACATTGTACTAAATTTAGTGTAAAACAGTCACACGCCTATCGAAAAACTCGCAGATATTTTATTTTACATCATCTAGGAGTTTTGACGGGATACATGCTAAAAATCGTCGTACCTGTTCATTGAAGTTCTTATATATTGTTCAGTAATAGACAGCTTTGATATTTCTGTATTGTGTATTTATCTGGAAAGATATCCAAATGATCCAGGTAAGCTCACAGTTGAAAATATGTAGTAGAAAAATATGTTCATACCGCAGTTCTATTATTGCGAGTCCATCATTATCTTGTTAAAATATCTCTTGAAAGATATAGCGATCCTTTTACCTTATTATCGTTCGAAAAAAATTATACTTTAACTTGTCCAACTTTCCGTAGTATTTATACCACCAATAACCATCAGACGATGTTACCACCCAACGAAATATTGTCGTCTAGCTTTCTTCGTCACTGTCGACACTCGCTGCGCCATTTGCATCGGTCGCCTGCTAGATTTACTCGTACAAGCCGTATATATTGAGTTCTGCGGCGCGTCACTTCAGGTCGTACCAGTGTCTACTGTCTTCCATCTCTCTCTATTTCTCGCTGTTTGACCAGCGTTATCCTGTATCCCGGTTCCAACTCCTTTTGGCCCTGGTCCAGGCCGCTTGTTACGAATACCAGTATACACTCATGTATGTAGCAACGTTATCCTCAACCACATCTCCTTGATCTACCATGCAGTGGTAAGACCAGGCCTATTGGTAACAGCCGTCGTATCTCCTCTTGTAGAGAGGGACCGGAGCCGAAGTCGAGTCTGAAGGGTGTTCCTATGTTATCGGTTGCGTAAGATTTCGAGGACAAATATACAAGTAGAGCGTATGCCGACGCGTACACACATACACAAGACATGCTCAACAAACCATAGAAGAAGACACGAACTCACATACACTACGTTTTCAAGGAAAGCCAATGGGAAGATATCTAAGGTGGAGTTTTGTTTCCTGCCCACCATACTCGACCGGTTTCGTCTTGTTGAATGACGAAGAAACGATACTGAGCATCTTCACCGCCTTCGCCACTTGTTTCTATCCAGCCTACTCCTTGAGGCTTGTGGATGAAACAACATGAAACATGGCGGACATGTAATGCCTTGAGGCCGAATAAACGAACTGCCAACTTAACCGTAGTGGCCACAAACAAACCACAGCCAATTTGTATCAATAAACGGGTATATATTGACTTATAGATCTGCATCCTGCTACGTAAGTCTTTGTGGGTTTTGTACTCATCATATTCTTAGCACGCGACGTTATTGACGTACTTAAGCTAGGTAGTAACAACAAAAGGCAATTTAGACGATAAGCCAGGTTGGCGTGAAACGGTAAAAATTTTTGAGAACTAGACACTTGCTACGATTTAAGAAGGTCGTTACGCACTAACCAGCGGTATATTTACTAAAAACTGAAAATAACGAGGATTATAGCGTGTATGTGTTAGACGACAAATTACGTTGGTCAATAGCGCTGGAGTCCCGGCGCTGACCCGCTTAACTCGTAGCAACAAAGCGACCTACTTAGACATTTTCAATTTATATTGCCCTCTTACTTGACTTATATCGTATTCATATCTAAATACTAGCCTCACTGTTTTCGTAGAAAATGAGCCAATAGTAATTTACTGGAAACTACATGCAATTTTATCAAGAATAATCGGTCGTACTGACATAGACAGATATATACAGTTTAGTAATGCTTCCTTTAAATGCCAATTAAAAAAACTCAAGTAAAATCTAGCATTAATTTTGAACAAAGCTTGCTGGGTTGGCACGTGCTTTGGGTAACTTGAACAGCAAAAGTACACGTACAAGTTCATGTGCAATCTTCTCTTTGACATACTGTGACCCTACTAGATCTTTTCGATACGCTCTGTCGTAGAGCATTTGTTCATCTCGCCATTAATATTGCAGTCTTGTACCATTGTTTTCTACGTTTCTCACAGTCATTCAGTGTTAACTATACGAGGTTCACCCACTTTTCCTGTGCGTTAAGGATTACCAAATGGAACCATCATACTCACTTAGAATTGAGTGCACTCGACCACAAAAGCAAATTCGACTTCTTCTTGACGGCGGTCGAAAACGCGCAGAATGCCATCATTTGCTGTTAGATTATCGTCGTTATCAGGCCGCGTTGCTTACCGTCGAAATTCACAATCTGCGCTAACGTTGTTCTCTTATACCGCTACTTCACAGAATGCAACTCTCTCTCACCTCACTTTATTCTTTATCTCCACGAATCTGTTTCCTCCAAAGCGGACTCTGCTTTAGCAGTGGCCTTGCCTAATCAGGCCTTGTCTCTGCCTCCGATTGCCCTAAAGAGGTTGACCGATCTGGTTAAGTGATTCCCCACCGAATGGGCGTAAGAGAGTAGGACGACTCCAGGGCCGAGTACTCGACCGATCCTGAAACAGTAACGTAATAGACATCGAGTGGCTGATCCTGTTGCCGCTGCCGATGTGAAACTGGAGCTGGGAAAGAACTGCGTCGTGGACCGAATAGGCAAGCTGCCTTCTATTGGTCGGCCTGTTATCCTGGACTCCTCGACCCAAGAGACCAATAGCGAGATAGGGGGCAACTCATAAACCAGGCAGCAAGAGGAACACACCGATAACAATCACAAGGTTCGCCCCTTGGCTAGCGATAGAACTGGTCCAGATATACGTAGCTATGTTCAAACTGTGCACCATATATATATATATATATATATGCACGCTTGCATTTTGCAACTTCATCTAGCAACATCGCTAAGGTGGCCTACCTAATTCTGGAACTGGTCCTTGAGGCCTGCTGATTACGGACAGTTCGAGTTTCCAGGAGATCAGTTGAATTACATATTTGAGCTTTGCCCGACTGATTGTAACGATAAAAATACGCGAACGTGTATCTCATTAGGTGCGCATCAAGGTGGACACCTGAATAGAATGCGATCAATGCGGAAATAGCTATCATTACATCTTCTAGGTAGTCTAAATAAAATAATAAATACATTTTTTTTAAAATGATTTTGTTTTTACCTTCCTACAAACACAAGAAGTTGAAGCCCTACCCAAATTAATGCCCAGTTGCATAAGCCAATATTAACTATATACCTTTTTCCTAGAATGGGCTAATGCAACAAAGTCTGCTTAAAGGAGAGAGATGATTTTTACGGAATGTATTATTGACCGTCTATGTTGTCATATTTCCTATTAAATTACAGTTCAGGGAACCATTTCGCGGTATGACTGCCGATGGACGCTGCGACGGCGAGTGGCCCTAAACTATACTTAATGAACTACAATTAACTTATCTAGATGTGTCTCCCTGATATAATTTGTCAATATGCTCGTGAAGGAATCATTTATGACACAAAATATTTTTAAATACAACTTCCTTCGTTACACAGATGCATCTTTAGCATGTAGACCAGCTATATGGGATATGCACGAAGGTTAGAATAGAACTCTGAAACAAACCATACAATGTTCGTAACCTTCTATCTCGCTTCTCATACGCTCGGTTGCCTTTGTGCGTTTATTTAGCTTTCACTACCCTCGATTGACTTTGTTTTTGCTATTCCATGTTTAATATCATTAAGAGCTGTATTCATTCCCGGCAATCATATACGAAAGTGCCTATCCTTCTAGGCATCGTTGCTCCTGCATCTCATCAAAGAGGAGATTGATAGTTTAATAGAAGCCACATGTGCCGAACTGATACATCGTTATTAACGTAGACATCTCAGCTACTTGTTCCAAGATCTGGGACGAAAATAGTATGTCACCGACATTCTGTTCGTGACCAATTCCCAACGACAAATAGAGCTTGGGTTGTGCTTCTAGAACAGACCTACCATTTTTGACTGGTCGCGCCTTCGTATCTGGAGCCCCGCTAGGTCTGGAAAGATCCTTATTCCTTGGGGACATATTGTACACACTGGATGCAGTGGTGAGCGGCCATTCTCGCATTTAATAGGAATGAATGTGATGCCGTTTACAAAGGGAACGTGATTTTCACAGATAGTTTTTCGCTTACCGAAAGCTCGTTCAGTTTATGGTGGACTGATTGTTTAATGACAGTCAATGGGCCTGGTTTATAAATCTGCCCCACAACAGCAATTACTTAGTCCTATGGGAAAAAAACAAACAGAATATGAGTGAAAAATCTGTTAGAACCTAAATTCATGGCTGGATATTGAAGCATACGTAAACTCGCGGCTATACGCAAATAGTAGCCATTAGAAGCTCAACCATAACACGCCCCTAACGACGTCAACGCTCTGACAAAATTGCGATATTTACGTTTACCATCAATAATAGTATTTGCTTGATGACGCTGTTGAGATAGGAGCCTTTCCGTTCGCATAACGCTGAGGACGGCTAGCTGACAGAGGACTTCCTAATATAGGAAGGGCTGTTAAGTGACCGATGGAAGCCGACGTTAGCTCGGAGCTGAACTCTAGAATATACAGACATTTGCTTAGCCAGTAGCGATTCAAAACTGCCCGCCGATGCAGCAGGCATTACTAGGTACCGCGAGAAGGAAAGAGAGAGAAAAATGAGCGCTGAGAATTCGTGGCTATTAGAGAAAAATGAAGTCTGTTGGCACGCAGGTTGTATGGCTCATCAAGCGTGTAGATTCTGTCGAAAAAAGCGGTAACGATGATTTATGACATGGCTTGACCGGGTCCAGATTAGAGTTGAGGAAAGACCAAACAAGGTAAATACGTAATACATAACCTCAAATGAACGAACGATATCATATGCGGGGTATACAAACGATTTCGAATCTGTTGAGAGTAACTACAACAGATATAGTTCATAACATACGTGGCACTCTCGCAGAAGGTACTATTTCGTCTTCCGATTCGGATAAGAATCACTGCTTGATTATACAAAAATAATAATAATAATTCGAATAAAATCTTGTGGTAATATTTATTATTATAAATTATATCAACAATGCAAGCACATAAACAGGGGTTTTTTACGCCTTCAGCTGTTTCTATAGTAAATTAACCCTTTGAAATTTTCATCATTTAACATCAAAGAATCGTTCCGACTAAACGGTCTAGCAGAGGGATACCAATCAAACAAAAATTTTAGGATTAAGTTTCGCGGTAGAGAAAACTAAACAGTAAGCCTAAAGAAGGAAAACTTGAATCGCTCAATGTTGAGTTATGATGAGATCGATTAAAAAAATACCGTTACTAGATTGGCAGGCATATACAACAACAGCAGGGTGTAAATATCTGCGTAAACAATATCGAACGATTACATAGAATGAATATTAGAAAAAACTCTCATAGAGTCATATAATATACCCGATATAGGATAATGTGACCATAGACGATCGCAGAGTTCAAATAAGACGCAATAGAAAAAAAATTGTGCAATTAGTTCTGATCTATTAATCCCATAGCAACCAAAATATACGCTATACTACGACATAAGTAAAGAATATGATTAATGGTTGTTTATTTTTATGGCATATACATATTTTGGCCACTATTCCCATCGAAAAATACTACTACTGCTCGCACCGCGGTGAACGCATCTGAAGCTTCTTTCTGCAGCCGGTCGAGGTCTAAAAGCGGCTTGGAGAAATGTTTCATTATCTAATTTGTCCTCGTGCTCCAAAACGAACAGACTATGACAGGCGTAAAACGAGCTATGGAAAAACAACAAAGAAGGTAAAAAATAGATGCGAATAATAACTAAAGATGCATAAATAAAAACAGTTGGACGAAACATATTTCAATAACACAATTTACAATTCTTTTATCCGTTATTTAACAGAGACGGCAGGATAAATCGAACAGAACCATTCGCTGGATGGTAGCACCAATCATAGTGAAGCACTAGATCTATATAAGACGCTATTGTGACTCAACTGCAATATGCTTTTCCCTTTTTCTGTAACTGCTCACTCTCGGGCTTTTGTCGCCCTTTACGATTGCAAGGACGGTAAAGGGGAACGCGTTCTGATGTTGATCATTTCCCGTCGTAATTTTTTTCAGCAGTCTTACCTTCGTCAGCCGAAAGCACAAGTAAGCACGACAAAGATTATAAGACCGCAAAATCGACAGTGACGGGAGCGACCCATTGGGGGTAGCCGGCTAAATGATGAACAAGAAGTACAGGACAGCCGCCGAAATGGCTTCATGTAAGTTCGACCAATAATGAATAAATCTATGATCTGACTAAGTAAATGTGAAGAAGTAGCCGATCATAGAGATGAGGAAAAGGGTCAAAATGAGATGGATAGCAACACGGAGCAGGTTAGTTAAATACTATAAATATAATTCATTGCCTACCAATAGCAGTAATAATAATTGTTGTCGGGTGAGAAAAATTTGCTCCGGTTGAGGAAACCTACTTGGACGTAAATGTTTATTATGAAAAGGGGTGTCATTGACGATCAACGCTGTGACCGAACAGGCACAATTTTCTTTTAAAGGTCCGTTCTCAAAGGCACCTTTACCTGCTTGCCGAATCGAATGAAGAGCAAATGATGTGATTTCTACAACAAGCTATCAATCGTTTGTTTTGAACTGTCAGACTTTAAGCTCTTTATCTACAGAAAGCTATTATATCTGTCGACATGAACCCTGCGATAGATTAGGGGTAACGGGTTTGCCTATCAATCCCAGAATCAAGTGACGTAGTCCGGTTTGCGATCAAGCGCCCGGGTTCATATTGGGGGCCGCTCATCCTAGGCAATGCTTAACGCTCGTAGCGAATGTAAGACTCGAAACGTTTAGATTTGTTAACACTATAACCCGTTCATTTTTTCCAGCAGGTTCCATTGTGTGACCATGCCCACTCTAAGCGATGAATTTTCGGACAATGTGGCCGAAGCTTTGAAACGCGAACAGTGATCATTGTTGTTTTCTATACTTCGAGCATGGGGAGTTTGGCCACAGGTGTCCTTAAAAAATAGCCCAAAATATGTACAATACGGTGATGAAATTTCTTGAATGAATATCGAAGAGCAATTATTTACTATATGACGAAACAAAAAGTTTCCATAGCATCGTTCGTTAACATATAATTAACATCATAGATTTGACGCACATACTTCATAGTTTTTCAATAGTAATTGGATTCGGAACTTCTCGGGCGACATTGAAGACCGTGAAGACTTAGCGATTTAACTGTATGATAACCTAATGAAGAGTACGTACTGTACTTTAACATACTTCAATAAAATTGTATTTGACAGAATCGACATTTGAAGGTTCTCGCTGTGCGTGTTGAAGTGTAATCGCAAAAATCACAAACGGTTAGAATGGATCATGGAGGGGACACTAGCGCAGTACCGATTCTGTTGTCAGGCCTTCGAAACTGCCGAAGATCGATAGATTCTATTATGGGCTGCTTCCTGTTTTTGTACCTTCCATGCTGTCTATTTTTGATGGATACAAATCTGTCTTTTTACGTACACTCTGCTTGCAAAGATCCCAATAATTTATTGCTATCATGTGATTTGTCACAATATATATATATATATATATATATGTAACCCAGCCAGCCCAAAGAACGTTGGATAAAACCGATAACGTCTATGCAGTAAATCTGCATAAGAAAGCTATACGCTGGAAGATAAACGTATACACCTTTCGACATTCGTCGAGTAGACATGTCACAAAAGATAAAAGTCAGATCAATCGCCGACTGTGAAGTTGTAATCCTATCGTAATAACCGAATGACGCGCTTAAACGCTAAAAGAATATTGAATACTCCGAGTGGAAGCCATAAAGATATCCGCGAAGAAATTTGTTCAGACGCCCTCTGAGCAAAACCTTTATACACGCAAATGTACATTTATGCAAAGAAGCCATGTGCTATTAGGAGACGAACGTACGATGAAAGTTGAATATAAGCGGCACGAAGCCAAATCTACGTCTGAACCGATAAGAGGGTTAGAATCCGTCTATTTTCAATATATAGATACATGTGTTTTATTGTAATACTGCGAAATTCGACGAAAGGACATCGTTTACTACGCCTCAGTGCACACTCAGGACTCGTTTCTATGAAGCGAACCGTCTTTCCTGAATGCGACCAGATGCCTGTTGTAGGACGTGTAAGAACAGCTGCTGCCCCTTCTGCTAGTTTATCCATTCTTCGCAAGAAGAGTTGCGTCAGATCCTGGACGAGAACGTGCAGCAAACGCCCAGACTATCTCCGTTAAGCTGTCCAGTAATGGCATTTTAATTTCGCATAACATGTAGCTATGCGTCGACTTCCAACAAATCACTCTATTTTAGAGCTTCTAACCATCAAATGCCGTTATTCCCATAGGCATGCTAACCTCAGAGATGGTACTCGATTGAAATACACTCATGTTAGATTCGGATGCTGGGTCGGTCTGTAGAGACGCACGTTCAGAAAAAGATGAGCCTGATCGATGTCTATAGCCTTCCATAATCGAAGAGACAATACGATACAGAATTCGCTTCGGTACGGAAATACGCTCTTACAATTTCGGCATTGTCAGGAGAACAAACAATTTATTCGCTCCGTATATGCTAGCTGATACACAACTCTAAAGATTGTTACATCTATCTTTAATTATATTGTCCGCCACTTGTAGCAAAAAGGTCCGAGTGGGATTATCCATGTTGGGAAAATCAACTGCATGGTCCGAGTGGGATTATCCATGTTGGGAAAATCAACTGCATGTTGGATAAGAAATCTCGTTTTCAAAAGGTAGCAGTTAGAGTTGGAAAGTTTAGTTAAGGAAACGTCATTCTACAGTTGACGCTCAGTTTTAACTGGGAAAACTTAAAAATGATCAGTAGTTCAGTGATTTCTTGCGAAGTAGCAGCCTTGTTTACCTAAAATATTACATAACGAGAGTGAGGTCTCTGATCGGAGATCATATATATTATAATGTACCTCTGACAAAAGAAGAAGTTATCTTCATAAAATACGTAATTTACTACAATCGCCGCATAATTTTTCTTAACATAGTTGGGTATCAAGGGAAGCATTTACAGCTGAGCGAGTTGCTAGTCGACCTACCTCACAAGTTCACAAGACATGAAGGAAGCTTACATGGCACAGAGGAACCCTTTGACCAATTTAGAGACAATTTAATAAACACCTCCATGAACTTGTTATTTTTAGGTTAATTTATATTCGTAGCGGCATGGATATAAATAAAAATAAATATCTAAATCAATTACACTATCGAGAGACATCATTCATCGACATGCTCGTTCAACCTAATCGACGTTTGCTCCGAGATATTTCTAAAGTAAACGAACACATCGCTCTTAAAGCCCTCTTTTTGAAATTACCAGTTTCTACTAATAATAATACTGAGCGGTGCAATACGTACTATACACGTATATACCTCTAGACACTATGAAAATTCTACTTCAATAGAGTTTCAAGTGGTAAAAAAAAGCCCATTTCAGACGGAACGTCTGTTGGTTCGCGGCCTCGTCACAACTATACACTAGCCGGTACTGTTTCTGCAGCCTTTTTGCCTTTACGGAAAAGTTCGAGTAAAGTGGCCTCTTAGGACATGATTAAAATAAGCTATAGTTAAAATGAAAACGTTTTTGGGGCATTAGACAAATCAGGTGTGCCTGTCTCGACTAACCTTTACATCGGCAGAACTATAGACAGTTACGTGAAAAAAATCGAACAGATCCAAATATTCATTGTTCAAATCAAGGTAAAGAGCACGGGGCAGTGAAGAGGTAAACTCCGAATCATTGTTTTGTAACACTATTAGATATGAATGTTTTTGCCACCTGTGAGCTTTTGTCTCTTTCAGTCCGCTTATGGACTTTTTCTTGGGAAGTCACATGGAGGCTGGCCATAGCTTAGACTATAAATTTCCAGCTATCAAGAAAGTTAATAGGTTCGGTAAAAGTGAACCGAACTTGAGTGTACCAAATCATAACCACATTTTGCCCATCGTCTGAAATAAACCTTTTGCCCTTTTCTAGTAGCAAGGATAGCCAATAACATCAAATGAATAGACCGCCATGACAAACAGGCGCTCGTTAAACAATGTTAATCGACCACTGCACACAAAACTTAGAATACAAGTATACTAACTCGCAGATTCCTTGCGACAAACCTGCGGCTATATGGTGCCGTTAATAATATACCTCTGTAAAAGATGTTTTTACAATAGAAATCAAAAGGCAGCATAAAGATCTATTCTTTTAACTGTAGATGAAATAAAATCGATCATAATTTGTGTAATCATAATGTGTGTGATCATAATGTGGGTGCATTGATAATGTGCTTGCCTAGTAAACCCAGGAAAACTTTAGTTCGTCTAGGCTTGGAACTGGGCAGCTATCCGCTTTGTTTCATGCTGAGAGACAGCCGCCTATAGTAATACTTAAGGGCTCGAAACTTATAGATATTTCACCTCATCGGTATAAAATATGATCTCAGACGGTACAATCAAAACACGTAGCGAAATAAAAGAGGAACAGTAACCTCAACAAATTTCACTAGCCCTGAGAAGACCGGCGATCATTGTAGTAATTAGCGAGATACCTCAACAATATAACAAAATATATGGGATATATCCGATTACGTAACCGAATATAGCTATATATAATACTCTTATGCCGCAAATCATGGTTCATATCAATGCAGGTTTGTAAATATAATACCAAACAGGAATGCCAATCCTAAGCGTGCTATGTATGTTTGATCTGCTCACCATCTGAGCCTACGGATTCCGTTGAATTGTAAAAAGCGCACGAAAGATGCTACCGACGATCTTGATGCACCGGGCTACTATTGAATCAGAAGGTCATCAGTAAAATCAAGATAGATTCAAGTGTGGAAAACAACTGAAGAGTTATTTTCGTAACATATTATCTCTTTTTAGTGTCTTAATCACTTAAACTGCCATTTTGGTTGCAAACACTTAAATTTCTTTTCTGTTGTACCTCTGACACGGTGGTTCCCGACAGGCCTATTTGGGCTGCTGCTGCTATTCCCCCTCAGAACGCTCTCCGTCTCTCACGCATTTTCCATGGAGTGCTTCTCTGTCGTTCAGTTCTATCACGGACCGACGGCACTACCTGCCCGGGTAGCCGTTATGTGCGAGCGACGGTTAGCAAAACTCAAAAGCGTACTGCTGCAAGATGTAAATATATCAAGCTTAGCAGGGTATAGAG